TTTAAATTTTTTATAGGGATAGGAATGTCTACAAGTCTCTGCAAGACAAGAAAAATTCTTCACATAATTTCATAAAAAAAAAAAAAACTTTCCGTTCCCATTCTAAAAAATAATATTCTTTCCCACCTCATCTCCGTGAGAAAGATCCTTGCAAGACCCGTAGGAATCGGCCAAATTGCCACTCCTATACTGGAGTGGTCACATTCCACTTCCAGTTGCTAAAGCGAGAATAAATTCAGCCTGTAGTCCTCGGCCCTTGACCTCCTAGGGTGCCGGTTGCATCTCTAAGTTTTGAAGTCCATCCGGTCCCGGAATGGATGGGCCACACAGCCAATCGAAAATGTCTAAATTTTATACTGGGCCCCGTTTGTACTTTCTTCTGCATCGTTTCCAGGCAATTTTATACTAGGCTTGAAGGTTTGTTTTAGGATGTGGCCCAAACTGTTGACATTGCCTCGGTCCCAAGCTCGATAAGAATTTTCGTGCACAAGTTAAATATAAGATATATTTAGTATTTAATTTAAAATTTTTAAAATTTGATACATATTCAAATATTTAAAAACTTATTTTCAATACTTAATCTAATAATTTGTAAGTATGTATTTATATATTTAGTTTAGGGATGAAAAAGTATAATATGAGATATTATTATTACATGTGTTATATATTTGTTTTAAAGTTTATTATTTATTTAATTTTTTATTAATGCATGTGTGATTTGTTTGATTTATATACCTTAACATTTATTTCTATATTTATTATTTTATTATTTTTATTATTTTAAGATTATTATTATATAATATTAAATATAATAAATACATATAAAACTTTAATTATATAAGTATAAGTAGCATGTCAATTAAATAATTCGATTAAATAAATTAGATAAATAGATTTGAATTTTTATATTTATTACTTAATTTAGTACTTACAGGTATATTATTTTTATATTTTTTTATTTTAGTTACATAATAAAAAATAAATATCTTTTATATCTTATCTTATTTAATTTATATACCATACAACTTAATTTTAAATTTTTTATTTTTAATAAAAAATTATCACTAAAATACCTAATTTATTACCTAATTTTATATTTATTACTTTTTTATTTTCTTTATAATTTAAATATAATATTTAACTAATTTAATAAAATATTTGCAAGAACAAATAAATTCATATTCAATACTCACCCCTAGTCTCAAATATGGTTAGGACTTGAGCCCCGAGTTAAGCGAATCGTACAAGGTGGCTAGTTTGAGTGGATGTGGACCTGGACATCATATCATCCATAATTTCAAAAGTTTTTTTTTTTTCTGAACAATTTGTAATTATTTACCGGGTTAATTGGGAGAGGAGAGAAAGAGGTTTTGTAAGATTCGAATGTGCAACCCACGGAAATAAACAATCCTAACCTAGATCCGATACCACACGGAAATAAACAACCCTAACCCAGATCCGATACCACTAGGCCGAAGCCGACTGTTCGTTCCGAAAGTTCTTTTTGGTTAAAAACAAAAATAAAAAACCTTCCTCTAACCACCTTCTATCAATAGTTAATACTTAAAAGTTATACACGAATTACACTATAAATATTTTTATTTATAAAAATGATAATTATTTTTTCATTTTTTTATTAAGATGTTAAAAAATTATTTTTTATATAAAGTACATAGTCAATATATAATTAAAATGCACATATCTGAATTTCGTGGTATAATACAAAAGTTAAAAAAACTATATATATATATATATATAACACTAGTCATTTAAAAGAGTCCAATCCACAAAAGTTGTGGGTTCTCAAACTTGGGCCTTATTAAATGGTGGTGGTGTTGGGAAATTTTGGTATATAATATGCAAATAATATAATAATTAAGTGCGTTATATTTTACACTCTGATTCCGCAAGGTTTTGAATATATGTTATATTAAAATTTTTTGTTTCTGTTGTGTAATAAAAGACATTTTATAATTTTTAATCATCTTAACTGTATATTGTATAATTCTTTTTTTTTTTTTTGAACATGACAATTTAGGAGAGGGAGAAATGTTATTTATAAAGTTTGAAGAGATAATCCATAAAATGATTCTCACTTAACCAAATATTTCAATCACTGAGCCAGGCATAGATATCTTATATTGTATAACTCAAATCATAAATATTTAATTTTTCTTTAAAAAAACCCAGTACTTGAATAGCTAAGTCATTCATCACCTATATATACAATCTCAACTGTCAAATTGTTATTAATTATAGTAACAGTAACCACATGCTAATTTCTATTATGATTTGAGGCCCCATATGTATCATGTCAACCGATAATCATTTAATAAAATTAGAACTTTTCGATAGGCAAACATGTTGTGTCGAGTTTAGAGGAAAATATTAA